CTTTGGGTATGAATATGGTTGTCAATGTTTAAGGAAGTGGGATTAATGTGATGTTCCAACAAATCAATGGAAGAAAATTACGAGTCAAAAGAATTAATTATGACTATGTAGAATTAAATTTAGCCACTAATTAATAAAGGAAAAAAGGAATAATTTGTCTGAAAATTAATCAAATGATGATTTTGAATTTGTGATATATATATATATATATATTTCATGTAAGTAAATAGCAGGTAATTTTTATATTTTAATGAGAAAAAAAAGGATTAAAAATATAATTACTAAATTATGTACGTACTATATTTGATGCATGTGTAGGCCTGGGATGTAGAATGGAATTTTAGATATTTAGATAAACCAAAATAGGTATTATTGGTGTGAAGAATCAGATTCTTTAGCTAGCTAACATTATGGATTGGGGGGTGTGAATATTTCATAACTTGGATATAAATTAGCTAGATTATTGATTCCTAGCTCTACATTTACTATTTGGTAATTAATTAATTGCACTTTGAAATAGATTTTTGTATTTACAGATATATACAAGATTATAATTATAGTTATTAAAATTTTAATTCCATATTAATCTTTTTTTTTTAATAAAATAATACATCATTTAGTGAACTGTTAATTCAACCGAGTCTCCAGTATGAGCCAACTCATGAGTGAATTATATATGATCAGGAATTAATTAAGTGAATAAATAAAATATCCAACGCCATTAGCTAGCTTTATTAATTGCCTACTAATTGACGTTAACATGTGATCAAGTGAAACATGTTATGTATGAGAGCTGTGCTTATGATCAATATTATAAAAATACTATTGGTTTGGTGGTGGCCGGCTGGGTTTGTGGCGTGAAAACAGGAGCAAAACGAATTTAATATTATACTATACTATAGTATGATTTATTGTCTCTCTCTCTCTCTCTCTCTCTCTCTCTTTCTATTAATTGCAGCCAGCAAATTTGTTCTTGTTTATTTTTTTCACGCACACACACTACACACACACACACACATTAAATTACAAACACTACTACTACTACTAATTTAGCGTGGATGTATCAGTATGTATGTATATTGAGAGAGTTCGTTTGATTGTTGGATCGAAATGCTGAGATTACTAATCACCTGCAGCAGGTAATTAATTCATTGAATTAATTGTCGAATGGATGATCATTTAATTGTATCTATCTATCTATATTCTGCATCTGCACATGAGTTATATATATATATCTTAAATATTAATTGTCCTTGTTAATAATCCATTCATTCATTTGCATTTGCATTTTGAATTGGCACCCACACACTGTGACTGTGGTGCAGATCAGCAGGGTCGTCGACGACTATTAATATAAGGAGGAGGCCGCTGCAGCTGCAGCCACCCATTAATATTAATGTTGCTCATAATGTTGTTTTGTTTGCAAGACCATTTTCTTCTTCACCAACAACAACAACAACAACAACAACAACAAGACGGTAATTAAATTTAATTCATTTCCTTTCATTCAAATACATACACTCCTCGATCACGATTTTGTTTAACATTCCTTTTCATGAGTTCCATTTAATTAGAGTACTGTACAGTTGCACCAAAAAGAAAGAAAAAAAAAAAAAGGAAAAAAGAGTACTGTACAGTTGCACCATGTACTGTACTGGGTTTCATTTTGTACCTGGCTTCTAATTAAGATTTTTTATACTTGGTGGTGTATTAATTATAGCTAATTATATACATACACTTATTTTTTATCACATCATCATAAACTATTAATTATAAGCTCAATTTAAATCATACTTTTATTATATATATCCGCTAGATTTGAATATATATATATATGGAGAGTTTTGTTTGATTTCAGTAAGTTTTATATATATCCATGCATCTTATAATCTGTTCCTCTTTTTTTTTTTTTTTTTTTTTTTTTTT